CCCCCCGACTGTGAGTGACTGCTGCCTTGCTTGCTGACCTTGACCAGATGTCCTCCCTATTCAGATTCCCTGCTGGTCTCCTTATCACCTAAGGATCACCGGAGAGCTTACCGGAGGTCCTTTGTTCCTGTATCCTGTATTTTGGTGTAAACAACTTAGATGCAAGAATGTAGAACATTGGGTCTTGAATGTAGACCATTGGTAGCCAACTTCTGCCCTCCGGGGATCCTCCATTTGTGTTGTAAGCCTGTATTTAAGGTTTCTTCCCTCTTTCAATAAATGGCATTCGGCATTTGGCATTCGACATTTCTTTTCTCAAATAACCCACCAAGTTCACTTTGTGCTGCCCAGATACTCAAGGGTCGGGTCATCCCCTGGACCATAGTTAACCAGCCATGGGACACACCCTTAAGGAAAACTGACTCATCTTCTCAAGCCGCCATCAACTGTCCATAGCACCTCGGTTTGGGGTAGGGAGATCGTGGCCCTTTCCCTTTCTCATGCTAGAATGTTGACTGGCTTGGTCTTGTGTAGGTCTTACACAGGCACCTGAAGCTGTTGGGAGTTCATGAGTAGCAGTCTTGTGCAGCATGAATCTTAAAAGGTCTTATTCATAAAAACAAACCTGGAGCCAGGTATTGGGGTGAATACTGGAAGATCAGAGAAGCAGAACAAGCCACAGCTTCCTCACCTCGCCAGTTCCTCAGCTGATCCTGTTTCCTCAGGCTGGAAGCCTCAGAGTCCTCATCCAAATGGATCTCAGCTGAACTGCTGCTCAAAAGCCTAAAAGCTTAACCAGCTCTAGTTCCTGGGCCTCATGCTTTATATACCTTTCTGCTTCCTGCCATCACTTCCTGGGATTAAAGGCTCTTGTTACCACGCCTGGCTGTTTCCAGTGTGGCTTTGAACTCACAGAGATCCAAACGGATCTCTGCCTTTGGAATGCTAAGATTAAAGGTGTGTGTGCCACCATTTTCTGGCCTCTGTATCTAGTGGCTGCTCTGTTCTCTGATCCCAGATAAGTTTACTAGGGTGCACAATATTTTGGGGAACACAATATCACTACAGTCTTGTGATGTCTAGAAGACACTGTTTCACTCTAGTCCTCCATAATTTGTGGCTCTTTCACTTTTTTCTGCTCTTTCTGCTGCAATAGTCTCTGAGGTGTGTGTGTGTGTGTGTGTGTGTGTGTGTGTGTGTGTGTGTGTGAGATATCAATGTCCAATTTGTGGCCAATTATTTCACAGTCACTTTGACTGGTTGTCAGTTTCTGCTGCATAAAGAGACTTCTCTGATCAGGTCTGGGAGCTGCGTGGATCTATGGGTATAGAGGTATAAATTTAGAGAGTGGTTGGGTACTATGTCCACCTGACAGAATAACAGTAGTAGGTTGACCCCTTGGGCCTGTGAGCCCCCCAGCTGTGGGTTCTTGGCCAGATCTTCAGGATTAAGCATGTATTTCCTCCTGGGGAGCAGGCCTTCACCCCAATCAGAAAGTGCTTGGTTATCCCATACAATTCCTGACATGACTACACCCAGGGGCATATATTGCTGTAGACGAATTTCTAAAGGGTCTTATTAAATAAAAAAACACGGCCAGTTATAGGGGTGAAAGCCTTAGAGATCAGGGAAATCGTGAGAGCCACCACCTCCATAGTCCTATTGTCACTGTTTGAAAATTGGCCCCAGCCACAGCTTCTCCTCAGCAAGCCTCCTAGGCTGGCCTCAAACTCGGGATCCTCCTGCCTCTGCCTCCTTTAGTAAATCCTACCAGAGTGCACCACTACAACTAGGTAGTGAGGGTAGCTCCGGTGACTATCCAGGCAGCTGGCTGTTTCTGTCAACTCACATTTTTTTGGAAGCCACATCACTTCTTCGTCACTGCCTGTTTACACAGACCTCCAGCTCTCTATGGTTGGTACTGGGGTTAAAGTTGTGTGTCACCACACTTGGCTGCATCCTTGACCACACAGAGACTCTGCCTGCCATGTGTGATCGGATTAAGGGCATGGGCTACCATTGCCTTACTTCTGTTTATGGCTCGCTTTGTGACTTCGTTATGTGACCTCTGATCACCAGGCAAACTTTGTTTATTAACATACAAATAAAATCACATTTCAGCACAAATAAAATATCACTCCATATTGCCATGCTGGTCATTATTGTAGTTCACAGGGTTCACAAATGGGTAAAACATTTGGTGGATCCTTTCTCCCAACAGCCCTGCATAGCACCTACCAGGACTAGGAAAGCTAGTCAGAGAGACGAGGCTTCCTGGTCAACAGGAACTTAATTTGTATGTTCTGCGACAAAAGGACACATGGAGTTTTTAAGTGGTCATGTCTGCCTGTCATGTGAGAAGTTTCAATTCACTGAAGTTTATTCCTGCTTGGGTCTCCAAGGATGCACACACCGTACGAGAAGGATTCCGATGACGTGGTGGTCATGGGTGCAGACATGTAGGTTTGTCTCTACAAGGAAACTAGGTGCCAGGTCCTTCCCAGGTTTCGTGGCAGATCTCACAAATCATGAAAAACTCAATCATTATCACTGATTTTTTTTTCTTCAGAATTTAAATCCATTTATCTGGGAACTTTAAAAGCTGGTAATAGTCAATTAGCCCCTCATTTAAAAATATTTTGCTTTTTCCTAAGAGCTAGTTTTAATACCAAGAAAGAAAGCATTTATGTCCCAGTTAATTAAGTAATTTGTACAGTCATTAATTCAGTAAGTCATTGAATGCTCACAACGAGCCAAACAACACAATTGGAAAGATGGAAAATGTTGAGGCCATTATCCTCAAGAGGCCCAGACTAGGCACAGAGGCAGAGCAGCAGTGTGGGGTGTGGCCAGGCAGACAGAGGAAATCATTCCGGAAACAAGGTAAAGGAAAGGTGTGTGAATTTCCAAATGCAAGGACTGTTTCCGAGCTTTGCCTCCCGAACCAATCTGCTCGATTTATTGATTAGGATTAGCTGAGCAGCAGCCCAGACTAAAGAAGGAATATAAATTAGGCAACCAGAAGCAAAGGTAGGATATTCTTGGAAGAAAACGTGCTGAATCACAAGGATATTAACTGCCAATAAGTACCTTTAGTATCAAAGGAACTGATTCCGTCTGTGATGGGTGTTTCCAAAGGGAGTGGGAGAGAAGGGGAGGTCTGGGAGAGGGCGGGACCTGCTTCTGGAATTTGCTTCCTGCTAACCTACAAGCTCTACTCAGACCATCTATCACTTCACGTCCTTTTTGGTGTTTAATGTTTGCATAATGATGCAATGGCAGAGAGGAATGCAGACAGATGCCTTCATTTGCATGAGTTCCCTTATATATCAAAGCTTACCGAACACACACTGCTGTAAAACAGGGGGACTTGGGCAAGTCAATATGTACCAGCAATTTCTTTCCTTTGTGATTTAAATTGCAAATACCCTTCCACAAAAGGAAGAAGACCTCGCAGCAAATACATTGCGTTCAAATTATCAGCAGCCCAGGAAACAGATGACGCCTAGCTGGCAA